TCCCAGGGGACCGGCGCCGTGTTTCCTCGCCGGAAGAGGCGGTCGTCGAGGCTTCCATTGGCCATGTACTCGTAGACGAGGCAGCCATACTCAGGGCATGCGCCAAGGAGGAGAACCATGTTTGGATGCCTCACTCGGCTCAAGATTTCAACCTGGTTGCAGGCAGAGAATCTTACGTGATATTTTTTCGTTGAGAATAATGTTGTTCCATCAAGAAAAATCAATTTTTTTTTAAAGAACAAATACCTCTTGCTCGAATTGTAATCTACTTTGGGAAGAATCGGGACGTAGAACCTTGATGGCTACCGTTGTGTGATCCAGTTGGCCTATGTACAGTGGACCGTAGCCTCCACCTCCAATCTTCCGGCTATCTGCGAAGCGGTTGGTGGCCAACTCAAGCTCTTCTATGGAGTACTTCCGATACCTGTAAATGTCATTATGCAATGCACTCAATGCTCTGTTCTTCTCCTCTGTTTCCTTCACCGCCTTCATCTCTGCATCAATTCTCTTCCTTGCTTCAAGCTCTGCAATTCTTTTCGACGCCTCGGCTGCCTCTATGGCAGCTTTGGCCTTTGCTTTCTCCCTCTCAGCCATAGCCAGTGCAGTCTCTTCAGCAAGCTTTGCTTTTTCTAAGCGGTTCTCTTCCTCCATCTTCCACCGGTGAAGCTCCATTGCCTTCTGCTTGGCTGTGATTGCTTCCCTGCAGGCATTGCTGTACATGTCCATAGTGTGCTTCAGTTCTAATCTCAATCTCTTCATCTCAGCTTCCATATCTTCCTGCAACAGAAAAGCAAAATTAAAGCTGGTAAACAACTGGGGCAGTCTGCAATGATCTTACAAGAAATTAAATCTCACCATGTTTTGAAGGTCTTGTAAGCAGGAGTGGTCAGTGAAGGAGCCGACATGTTTGTCTATTCTAATTGGTGTTCCCATGAAATTGGAGCTAGGTTCCAAGATGTTTGATGAATTGGAGGGCATTGGGTGTAAGGGGGGGCGATCAAAACTTGGCCTTCCAGAGCTAGAGCTGGGAAATGATGTTTCTGAGCTCACAAATGATATATCGATTTCTGGCACTGAGATTTCCATATATGATCTCTGGTTTGCTCCAGGTCGAGTGAATGGTGACCTTATTGTTTCCCTTTCCTCACTAAAGGAGTCATCACCTGGAAGAGGGGGATGAGGGTTCCATGAACAAGTTGGTTAGCAAGACAACCGTGAGGGGTTTATTTTGTAGAGATGTAATATCTTATTTTACGCATCCCATTTTTTTTTAAAAAAATTATTTTCTTAGAAATTTAAATCTTAAATTTTGTTTTTAAATTATTTTCTTAGAAATTTAAATCTTAAATTTTGATTGATCCCATTTAAACCACTATCAATGATTGTATTCAAGATTTGTCAAATGCCATCATCTCTCACAAATAACCAATCTATTAACCAGAATTTGTTAGCCTTTAAGAGTTGTGAAGGCCAAGTTTTTATTGTTTCCATTTGAGCATAATATTTCAGAAAAAAACAATGATTTTTATTTGAATCATTTTGACTGAAAAAAATGAACTTTGAAGCTAAGAATTTTAAAAGTATTTGCAGAATGAAAAATTCTTTTTTCACAACAGGATCCAAAAAAAATCAAGTTTTTTTTTTTTTTCTGAAATGCAGACCAACTGTTCTGCTATCACTCAACATACGTGGAGGCCTTTCCGTGACTTTGGGCTTGAAACTCGCTTGTGCATGTACTTCCTCTCGAACAGAAGAGACTGGTGGCGGCCTAACAGCATTGCGCACCGAAGCCACCTTTCCTTTCGAAATAACGTATACAGAGCAGAAGTCAGGCGCGCTCTTAGAAATGCTGCTCGGAACATCGCTGCTACTCTTCAATCTTCTAAGAACAAAGAAACCATGATAAGCACATGAGAGCTTCCTCTGAAATCAGGGAGATGAGCAGAAAGCTAAAAACTTTCACCTGACAAATCCTCCTTTTGGTTGGGCTCCGACGACCAGCTTTTCTATGGCAGCTTGTGACAGGAATTCGATGATGGCTTTCGTTATATCTCTGTCTTCGAGGATTATGTCGCTGCATTTCACCTGTGAACAAGTTAAGAGACTGTAGCTGATTCCCAGCTTCTGTGATTATGTGATTATGTATGTGCTGGAGCTGCTGCTTCCTTCATCCAAATGTGTAGATGTAGAAATACAATTTTGATAGCAGTAAGCACTCTCTCTATGATTTCTAGGTGATTAAAAAGTTTAAGAGTGAGCTCTATTCTAAAAAAAACAAAAAAATATATTTCAATGATTTAGATTGAACACCGCACATAAATTTACATGCAATGTCCTTCAAATTCATCACTTTTGCCCCCTTGTCTAATAGAGGCTGCTGCTTTTTCTCTCTCTATCTTTAGACAGAGAGATAGAGAGAGAGAGAGAGGGAGAGAGAGAGAGCTTGGGAGGGAGTAATGGAATTGATACTCACATCTTTTCGGGTGCAGAAGCAGCGGAAGGGAATAAACAGGTCCCTGGCCTGCGCAGTGGCTGCCTCATCCTTTCCTGAGTACAAAGATTATAAATATCTTTGGACTAAATTTATATTTATTTACAGGAGTTTTTTCTTCACAACAACCACCCAAAACATAACATTTTAATGATCAAAATTTTAAATATATAACATTTTAAGTTCCCAAACGCACTTATGCTCTCTGCACACCTGTGGACTCTCAATAGAAGGAGAGAGGGAGCGGAACCCACTCTCTTCCCGTCTCCTCCTATTAAGAATCACAGATGTGGACGACACACCTAATAATTTTGGATAAAGAAGAGTGATTGTAATGAAAAACCTTTTATTTATATTATATTCAAAATTGGGGTGGTTAAAATATTATATTCAATATTTTGAATAATTATTAATAAAAAAACCTCTTATTTATATTAACACTATAATTTATGAATGATAAAAAAATATCACTAATTTTAATTTATTTAAAATAAAAAACCAAATTTTAATTAATGCATATGTGTCGATGCCATTTGTACAGCAAATTACAAAATTAACTGCTATTTGCATACATAGCCTTGAATCCCTATGTATTTCTGTATGTAATACCAATTTTTTTAAATTTAATTTTGTAGAACATATCACCAACATTCACTTATGGAAAGCAAATTACTCATCTTCATATATATATATATATATTAATGCTCTTCAACTAAAGATTGTTATAATAATCATAAAAATACAATATCATAAACATAAATTTTCATAAACCAGAATATAAACTAAAGGATTAATTACTTCCACTCACCCTTAGTGTTAACATGAACCAGAGTGATGCTCTGGCCGCGGTGCACCAGATTATCCAAAGCCCACTTCAGAGCAGTCTGGCTACTCTTGTCCCTATCAATGGCAACAGCCACCTTGGCAAACCCAGCTTCATCACTCTCCCAGGAGACACCAGCTGGCCGCACCATGTTTTCCAATGGCATCTCCCTCTGCAGCTGCCTGATCCCCGTAGCACAGCAGAAAGCTGCGGAGCTGATGTCCAGAATCATGGCATTGTCGCCATTATCGACCTGCAAGTTTGGAAGGAGATTAGAAGAGGTGAAGGGAAGAAGCAGGACTCGGTTTTATGAGGTTAGGGAGGATTAGAGGATGGTTTGTATTTTGGAGTTATGAGCTTATTGTCAGTGTTGGTTGCTATTTTTGTCTTGAGGAGATAAGAGTGCGTTTCAGCTTTGTGGTGGAAGCTGGGTTGGTTTGTTCTTTGGGAAAAGGAGACGAATGAAGTAACAACATTGGGAAATTTGCATATGTAGCCAATCATTCTTATCTATTTTGATGGGGAAATTTAGGTACATAACACACAATTCTTACGTATTTACATATCAAACATGATAACATGCATACATACAAATATATATATAGGGGCACACACACATTGTTATTATAATACTATTATGTCGGTATTATATATATATAATACTGACATAATAGTATTATAATATCAAGTATTTCAAGTATCATAATCAAATACAAGAATATAACTGCAACACTATTTGCAATAATTAAATTTAACACATCAAAGTTGTGAAAGAAATAAAAAATGCTAGAAAAACGGCATGCAAGCAATTAAACAGGAGTCTATGCATAAAATTAAATAAGATTAATTAGTCATAAAATTTATTATGAATAAGAATTAAAATCTATTGCAATTATATTAACATAATTTAAAAAGGGTATGACTGGAAAGCCTACAATAAGCTAGAAATTTAATATAAATAACAAAGATAATGTACATACAACGAAGGATATATTTATCCCATAATAAATAACAGCTACTTAGTCCAATAATAGGTCCTACACAAATCAAAATTCCCAAATATTAATAAAAAGATAAACTAAAGCTCGAGGAAAAATGGGAACCTCTTGATCGAGCCAGAAGGGAAATAAAACAAAGAGGAGAAAATGAGGGCTATGACTAAGGCTTGTAAAGTAGGAAACCAACTAGAGCCTCCATCCATTTTTAAGTTTCACGGGATTGTAGAAAGCTTATTCATTCAATAACTGAGCATTTAAATAGTATCAAATTTATGCAATTAGTTAATCAAACAATTATGAACGGTCTATAATCTAGTTGAGTCACATATATCTTGTCAAACTCTATTCATTTGACATTTTATATGCAAGTGCGAGAACAAATAATATCGATCAAAATCAAGTCAATCAAAGATGATCTTAGCACCTAAAAGTTAGATATAGATATCCTTATATATTTTTATACCTAACATTTAAATTTTTGATATTTATTTATAAAAACGTTACCATCTCAGTCTCATCAAATGATATGCACGTATGTTATGATTTTCTAGATAGGTAAATGCATAAGTTTTGTGGCATGTAAATCATTTATTTATTATACAAATCCATGCCAATTCTACATTACTTTTCAAACTGTCACTACACGAACATTGTTGCTATTGCTTATTATTTTCTATAAATTATTCTTCTTGTTTCTTTAAATTTTTATAATGAGAGGTACCTTTCTACAAACATTTCTATTAAAATTTTCATGTTTATATCCACTTTTCCTAACATATATATATATATATATATATATCTTACTTAAAATATTTAAAAAAATTATTATCCCCACAAAATTTTAATGATTACCTTAAAAAAATCACGTGGCACAAATAGAAGAAAATATTATATCAGGAGTCTTGATATAGTTTCATGTGCGGATGGTAGCATTTAGGTGTTATTAGTAGTATTGTGATATTATTTTACCAAAATAACACCACAGTACTACTAATAACACCTCCAACAACACCATCCACACCTAATTTGGATGTAGGTCATTCGGATGAAATATATTTTTCTCAAATGGAACCTTTAGTGACCCATAGGACCAAACATACCCTAATTTGTATCATTCAACTAGACATGCTAATATATCAAAAACTATAATGATTTGTTGTATGAGTAAATAACATAGTATTGCTAGATAAAAAAAAAAAAGGTACGAAAGAAAATTAAGCAGCATTTTCTTATTAAAATTTGGTTTGAATTAAATTTTAATATTATAAAAACAATGATTCTTAAATTCATCATGTTGACAGATGCACATGAATTGATAAGAACTCCAAACAATTATAATCGTTCAACATTTACAATAATATTAAGTGTCAATGTCAATGAAAGTTAACTTGAGAACATCATTAAAGTAATTCACTTCTCCCTTTGAAGGATTTGATGTCAGTTGAGCCATTTCGATTTCAGAATTTATTAAGACTTTAACCAGTAACTCTCTCATCTCTTTTGACAATGTAACAACATTGTAAATATTAAATTGTGCTGATAATTTCCTAAAATGTGACAACACATTGTAGTCAACCTTAATCTGAGCTTCTTACTAAAAGATCAATATATAAGATATTAAAAATCAATTAATTTAAATATTATATTTATCTCAATTCAACCAAATTTAATGTCCAGCCTTTTTTCTTCTCATCACCCATAGACAATCAAACAAATGTTTCATCATATAATAATTAGGCAGGCAATGGAGGCTTCCTTAAATATGATATTTTTTGGTATGAGATGACATGAACCGTGCTCGAATGCGTAGAATATTAGTTGGAAATAAAATAAAGAATTTCAAAATAGCAGATTGAAATGGAAACAAATAAAAGATGGGAACTTGTTCTCAGAGTTCAAGCAAGCATAAAAAGATGGAGATAATAGAATTTTGTATCAGATTAGAAATTCAAACAAAGACATTCCACAAACAAGTGGTGCTTATTCACTCAGCAGCTTAAATGGAATTTTACAAATGCCTTTCCTTGAAGCAGCAGCTCCAATATGGCTATTGCAGCTTAGAAAAAAAAAAAGGGGTGAGTTGGGGAGGGTTAAGAAGAGAGAATTAAGGAAAAAAAAAAAAAAGGTAGCATGAAAGAAAAATGGGGAGGGTGAGGTGGGGAGGGTTAAGAAGAGAGAATTAAGGGAAAAAAAAAAAAGGTAGCATGAAAGAAAAATGGGGAAGAAAAAAACTATGGTTACACCACTGGATGTGAATGGGTAGCCTATGATATTGTACAACCACCACATGAACCATGAATTTATCCCCCACCACATCCTTTCGAAATGCAGATTTGAGCAGCCTCTATACTAAATCACCTGATGATGATGATGATGATGATGATGATGATGATGAAGCTGAATGATTGGCACACAGCGTCAGATTAAACCTTCTCCAGCTTCCATCTATGATGCTGTTGATGAAGTAGGCTTTTTCGCGTCCTCGGAATTGGCAACAGAAGTGTTACTTTTATCCGTGCCTTCGCCGTTAACTTTGTCCAGTCTAACCACCTCGGCAAAGTTCTTTGAGATCTGGCTAATCAACTCGGAAGATCTTGAGGCTGGAGGTGGTTGTCTCCCGTCTACCATATCAGGAGTGGGAGAAAGCTGTAGTTGTTGCCGTGCCTTCCTCTCCTGCATTGATTTCTGTCGATCTTCGTAGAATGCAAAGTCGTCCAGAATTGACAAATCAGATTCATAGTTCTTCAAGATGCTTAGCATTTCGAGACCTTGTTCGAGTTTTACCTGAAAGTAAAATCCAGAAAGCGACCGCAAATGTAAAAATAAAAATTAGGATGGAAATAAAAAAAGGAGGAAAGAGTAATGATGCAGCTTACTAGTGGCTGGGATCAACCAATTCTAAGGGTCGTGTACTTAACTGAAAAATCAAACCCAAACTAATTTTTTTGAACAATTTGGTTTGGTTTTAAAATTAGTGGTTCGAATAGTTGTTTTGATTAATAAATTATTTGGTTTGGTTTTCAGATCGATTTGACCAAAAACACCAATGAAATAGTAATAAATTAAAACACTCCCTTTCCGCAATTTGCATTTTCCGTTCTGTTTGTCTTCTTCATTCGATTTTCCATAAAAGTAACCAATTGCTTTCTAAATATATTTTTTTAATTATGCTTATTACTTATCAATTATGTAATAAAAAACTACATAATATATATAAATTGCATAAATAAATTTTAAATATAGCTAACTTCGGTTTATCCAAAACTAAACCCATATTATTGTTCGGTTTGGTTCGGTTTTACATTTTTTTTAGTTGATTTGTTCTAAATTTTTAGACATCCAAAGTCGATTGATTTCACAAATTTGTTATCCAAAACGCCCAAACTAAGCAAATGCACAGCCCTGCCAATTCTATTGAATACACCTTCCCTTTGCTAACATTTGGCAGAATGGACAGATGGTTGCTTACAGTAATTATATATTTGGAGGCAATAGTAATATCCGATATTGATAAGGTATTCTATCTACTACAGTAGCATACTAATCTAGTTAAGAATATAAACTATCGAGGGTTCATTAACTTTAGAAGAAGGATAAGATAAAACGCTTATAATGACAACACAAGAATGAAAAATAAACTCAACAATTTTCTAATAGAGAGCTGATATGTGATGCTGGTAAAAGACTAAAGTGGGCCTTACAAAGAAATAAAACTGCAAGCATTATAGTCACAGCCATTATTAATGGAGGATGATTAAGGATGCCTCACACTAGGTTAATTTCAAAGAATTCATTATCATGGTAGCTAGTTAAAATTTATTAATGCCATGTGAAATTTGGAGAGAATTTTTTAAATGTTAAGCCCCTCTTTTAGAAGTTCATCAATCAGCCCAAATTGTGGATTTCCTATGACAATTAAAGATTTTAATAAATCCTTCAAATTTAAATGATTTATTTAGTTTCCAAAGCAAGATTCATCAATGAGAGGGTTACCATTTCCGCCTAAAGATAATTTTTTAAATAGGGATTTGTTGTGAATTTTCTTATGTGTTTGCCTTCATTTTTCCAGCACTTTCTATGTTATTTATTCCCTTTGCTTTAATAAAAAAAAAAAAGCTTTGCTTATTGCAAAACTTATGTATACAAAATGGTGTGCTGCAATATTTTAGATTGATATAAGAATCAATCACAATGAAAGTTCTCAAACCCTAGCATAACTCTCTCCCTCTATAAACTAGTCCTATTACATTACCCACCGCCTTCCCAAATCCTTAAATCACCCCAAACCTCAAAAAAATTGATTCATACTTCTTTAATTCACAAAATCCAAAATCCTATTAAAAATTCAGAATTTCCTATCTGCATTTTTAATTAAAATAAAATCACCTCCATTAGTTAGCTAAGTTTAGATGTCTTCATCATTTCATTAAGAAAAAGCTAACCATCCATTGCGAGAAAATTCAGCCAAAAAGCATCACCAAACCCTAAAACTATTCACTCTTTCTTATCCTTCCACCAATCCTAAAATTTCCACCACCAATCCAACAACAATTAAAATTTATTAAACACTTTCTTATCAATATCAAAAAAAACAATTCAAAAACCGATAGTCTTTTATTAATAGAGAAAACAATCCAGCATAACAACATCACCACAAATAATAACCCAATCTTAAAACCTCTGCACCAAGATTTTCATCCGCCAAATCACATTTGCTTAAAGAGGGTGAGATTTTACACTTCATTAATAAAGCATCTTAAAATCAAGTGCTAACATTTGCTTTTCCTTTATTATTAAATTAATTTATTTTAGCACAAAAGTATGCTAAAGAAATCTAAGATATTCATTTGTTATTTTGGTAATTCTAAGATTAATGTGATAGCCTCCAAGTAGCAAACACTAAATAAAGTCAGGCTAATCGTATTTTAAATCTATTCCACCCCTTCAAAACATGAGAGCTTCATACGATGTGAGGATGTGGTTCAAAAAGAAATATTCAATACAACCTATTGAACTTTTTTTTAAAAAAAAATTAAGTTATAATGTCTAGATGTTTACTAGTCACTAAGTACTTATGTATGTTTACCTTAAGAAAACAAATTATAAATGTTTAAAGATTACAAATTCTTTTATCAACGGGCATTTCATTATTGCATAAGCCAATTTGACTCGCTTTGGATAATCATTTTTGCATTAAAAACCATAGATTATTTATGCATTTACAAGACTAAAAGAGCTTTATTAAAAATATCTAAATTGTCCAAGTGCTTAGGAACTAAATGGTCCAATGTGGCCCTCCTTCTCCACCTAATAGTTATTTTTATTTTAGTATTCAAATCATCAATTTATTTTATTGTATTTTAACTTGAAATTTTCATATTTTGAAAGTACTTCACCTCATAATGTCCCTTCACATGACTAACCCCTAACACAAGTCAAAATTTAAAACTTCTACATTTCATGGTGTGTACAATATCAAACACTTTCTAAATTGGCTCAAAATTTTCAAGATTTTTTATGGCACAAAATAGATGATCATCAAAGTTCAACCATCTTGAAAAATAGTTAAAATGCACTTCATCAAACAAAAGAATGATCAAACGCCTAAACATGGTTTTGAGTATGCGACAGAACCACGGTCCAAACACAAAAATATATAAACCTCCACATATATATACCTAGTCCAATTACTAACCCATCTACCTTAGATATACATTCTGATTAACTTGAACAATGATCTGACTTCAGTACCCATGTTATTAATGAGCGTTTTGTTGCACCTCATATTATTGAGAGGCACATATCTAATGTGCTCTCAGAAACCTTTGCCCTTCCCTAGTGAGCTCATTGTCCTGTAATACGTAAGATGCCCATAACTATTATGATCTCAAAAAACAATTTAAACTTTCTAATTAATAGACTATTGTCATATTTGTTAAGACCACTTTTCGAAAAAGTTAATACACTGCTACCTTCTGAGATGCATATGTTTGATATGGACTCAAATCCCCAACCTGATTTTTCTAACCTTAGACATAATGAAAGTTCTCTCGAGAGGCCAAGCACATCTTTTTTACTTGAGATACACATACATGTTAGGATCTTAGACCTTCAACCTATCTTATATGGTACACACTAGAGAATCCAATGAAAAGCCACCATCCCAATATGACATACAATCTAGCTAAGAAATTATTTCTAAACCTCCATTACTAGATATTACTCTTTTGATTGAAGCATCCTAAAATTCATCCGGATATTGATGGGTTGCTCATAATACCTCCTGATTTAATTGACATGACTCATGATTTTGCATTTTCTTTGGCACTGCTTATACATAATCTTAATTAATATGTATTGAGAGGTCGACAAAAATAATGATAATTTTGTTAAAAATATAATAACAATAATTATGTTTTAAGTTGCACTCCATTCTCTACCTTTGAAAACATCAAATACTAAATCATGAGCAGGGCGAATGGAATTACTACTTATTTATTAACTCCTCGCATATTTCTATTTTCATTCTTATTACAAATGATATCTTCTAACAGTCTCATTGCCCAATCCCAAACCCTGGATGTGAAAAGTAGAGTGTTGCCTTAGGTAGTCAACAACCAATATAGATTTTTTGTCGAAAAAACATGACATGATGCCTTTAAATCATTATGTAGATGCTAGGGCGTCCCCTAGCATCAGCGCATTGTATAGCCTGAATACAGTGAAAAGTGTGCAATGGCCGCTACACCGGTGCTCAGGTGTGGTATTAAATAAGCAAAGGCTCTCATATTATGTACAGATGCGGGCAATGAAGTTAATCCACAAAACTAATATAATGATAGGATTTTGGAATATATATACTCTCACAAGTAAATTAATGTAATTAATGGATATTATGGTTCATAAGAAGATAAATATCTTATGCATTCAAGAAATTAAATGAGTTGGAGAAAAAGCAATGAAGATTGATAGTTTAAGCTTTAAATTTTGATATTTAAGTATGAGTCGTAATAATAGATAAGAGTTTGAAAGAAAGTGTTGTAAAAATTAATAGAATTGTAGCTAGAATTATAGCCTTAAATATTGTTGTTGATACCAAGATTCTTAACATTATCAGTGTTTATTTCTCAAGTAGGTTTAGATATATACTCAAAAGAAAATTTTTTGAATTACCTAGAATAATTTATACAAAGGATGTTTTTGATGAAAGAATTTTATTGAAGAGGATTTAAATTCACATGTTAGTAGAGTGGTAGAAGATTTTAGAAATAGTCATGATGACTACGATTTTGGAGTGGCTAATGAAGAAGGTATAGTCATATTGGATTTTGTTTTAGCTTATGATTTGTTATTGCATAGATTTTATTTAAGAAAAAAGATGAACATACTATTACTTATAAGAATAAATCTAATAAAATAAAAATTGATTAATTTCTTATGAAAAAAAGAGATCATTGAGATTGTAGAGATTGTAAAGTCATTCCAAGTGAAAAATTGTAAGGCCGCAAATTAATTATTTTGTATGTTTTAGATATCCCAGGTCTATTGTTCAAAGTGATGGTGATTCAAGTTGGATGCTCAAAGTGTAGGAATGCATCAAGCCTGTTGTGTGATGGAAAAGTACCGCTTAGACTAAAAGAAAAATTTTATAGAAGTGTAGGAATGCATCAAGCCTATTGTGTGATGGAAAAGTACCGCTTAGACTAAAAGGAAAATTTTATAACTTTATGGAGCAAATGTTGGCCTTTAAAAGAGAAACATAAAACTAAGTTATATTGTTGAGATGAGAATACTTAAGCGGATGAGTGAATTTATATTTAGAGATAAAATATGAAACGAATGTATCTGTGAAAGGGTTGGTGTAGCTCTAGCGGCTGACAAGATTAGAGAGTCATCTTAGATGATTTTTCATATTAAAAGTCAACCATCTGATGATCCTGCTAAGAGAGTAGATATTTTAGATTTGACTGTTGATAAGAAAGGTATAAGTAGGCCTAAAAAGACTTGTGTTGGTTCTACAAAAAATGATTTTAATCTATTAAAATGAAATGAAAATATGACACTCAAGAGGACAAAATGGAGAAAAAGGATTGATGTAGCTGCCCCCACTTAATGGGATAAAGGCATTGTTGTTGTTGTACAAGTGATATCTTCCTATCTAAAGGGTTTATCATGTGCTAAGATGAGCAAACTAGTTCACTTCTAAAATTTTTTTCAATAACCGTTATCTTGATAGATACAAATATTATATCATTAGATTCATCTAAAATTACAAATAATCAATTGTACAAACATTTGGAGTATTGGCCTTTTCACTTATCCAAAATAATTTTAACTTCATAAAACAAAGTGAAAGTTGATGCAAAGCAAAAAAAAAATCTCTTAAGAGATTAATTTTAAAAGGTCATTATCATGAATAATTAATTATATTTTATTTTCTTTCTTTAAGAAATAGGGTATCTATTACGAGATTTCTGGGGAATTTTTTAAATATTAAACCCCTTCTTCGAACGCTCATCAATTAACCCAAAATGAGGATTCCTATAAAAAATAATTTATTACACAAAATCTTCATATTAGGAATAGTTTATTTAATTTTTAAGATAGGAGGCATCAATAACGAGGAATGTGATTATAGCTTATGAAAAAATGTTCAAGCAGAAATTTTTTGTGTTTTTTTGTATGTTTCCCTCCTTTCCAACATCTCATGTAACGTTTATAACCCATAGCTTAATGAAAAAAAAAGCTATGATCTTCTGCAAACTTGTATCTACAAGATGTAATTGTGTTGTTAGCTTTTAGATTAATTTGCAAACAAATCATAGCTAAACTTTGCAAACCTAACATATCTCTCCCTCTCTAAAATTATTCTATAGCAGCCACATCATTTTCCCAAAACCATAAGCCACTTCAAACCTCACAAAAACTTAGTCATACTTTTCCACAAAATCCTAACTCTTATTGTCCAAATATAGTTCTCATATTAAAAATTCATAATCTGCATATCTAATTGATCATAAACCATCTACATTAGTTCATTAAGATTGCAAACATTTATTTTGAATACTCTTACCCATTTTTCATCAATAAAAAATTAAAAAAAAAGTTTGACCAGACATTGAAAGAATGTTTCAAGAAAAAATCTACTTCAAAGTTCTACAACTAGTTACTATCTTCTATAGCCTTCCACAAACCCTAAACCTTCCACTACCACTCCAATAACCATTGAAATCTACTAAACATCTACCCATCAATTACAACGTATGACAATCCATGTTGTGCCAAGGGTGTAATCCCTAAAAGGGATCCATGATCACCATGCCAAATAAGCAGGTCATAAAATGTTTAGACTTCATTTATTTCAAATTCATAGAGTAATAGAGAGATTATATAAAGGAAAAGAGTGAAGCTACATATTCCTTCAAGCTTCACAAAATGTAAAAGATCTATTACCAGAAGAAGCCAGATAGTAAATTCAGTATAAGAGAATGCTATTTTACCCTAGCAAACTCGTGAGATGCAGGAAGTTTGCTTCTTAAAAAAAAGAGATCTTCATAAGAATTTTTTCATACATAAAATGAGGATGTTTGAACATAATAAATGTTAGAAAACCAAAGTAATATTATATATATATACATAAGTATGAAATAATCACTGATGAAGCCTAATTATTTTTATTAAAAAAAAACTAATGATAATAAGAAAATTCATTACATAGCAAAAAGATGCCCCAAATATGATAAACAGGAAATAACACAATAGGACATTATCATAAATGCGTTAAACATAACATAATTTTAAAAATTAATAAAACTAATGAAGAACTAGATGATTTAAAGTCGAATGAGATGAGTTGAAGGAAGGCGGTTGTTAAGAATAAAGTTAGTTAGAAGAGAGAGATCACCAAACTTGTAAAAAAAAAAACAATAGCAAGAAAGAAAATAAGCCAAATCAAAAGATTTGAATTGCTGCCATTAGAAAAATGAAATAATTAAATTGAAGCCAAATTTTTTTAAGTGTTCCATCTTTCAACAAATATTGCACATAAGAAATTTGAACACAATAAACAAGAAAAGCAGTAGGGGGGAACCTTGACATGCCTTAAGTTGAGAGCATGAGGCACTAAGGCTTTCGGCATGTCAATTAATATGGTTGGAAGATCTAACAGAAGAATAAATTTGAAGGCTTTTAATCATTTCAAGAGAAAAATAACAGAAACAAACACAAACTACCTCCTGGGTGTCTCTGCTGTTGGTTACAGGTTTATTATCATTGTTCTCAAGGATGATATGCCGGAACAGACTGTTAGGCACATCTTTTATAATATGCCACTTCACAGGGAACTGGCCACTCCACTTGTCCTGCTGCCAATAGTCCACACTCCTGTCAAAATCAACAGGTCCAATCATCTCAGCAACACCAACGAACTGTGCGCTGGCATTTACCTGTTCATAACCAACATAATTACTTGTAAATAACTAAGATGAAATAAAAAGTCAAAACCAACAAAAATACAACATTCACTTTTAAAGTAAAGCGTCACTCCACTAGGAGAAAAGATTTGAAATAACTTACAGAGAAAAACAAGAAAACTGGGAAAAAATCTCCCTTCTCTTTTGTTTCACGATAAGCAGCATCTAGTTTCTTATTCCCATTAGCAGTGCTGGCCCAAACACCATACTTGATACTCTTGTGAACATTGTCCTCACTGTAAGATTTTATTATAAAGAACTTTGCATCCATGTACTCAACAGCAAAGTCAGGTCGATTGTATAGTTCACGGTTAACACCTGGAATTACATTGCTGTTTTTGTTATCAGCAGCCAAGGCCTGCTCAATGTTTGCATTCTTTGGTCTGGAAGCACGTGGACCTCGGTTTTGCTCATTGAGAAAGTCATTGCAGCTATTGCACGTGGAAGTATTTCCCTTACCCCGTCTCCTAACTTTGTCATTTGCGAGCAAATTGCGACCATTATTTCCTAAGCTGGAAATAGATCCTCCAAAATTACTTCCATGGTGATACATCCCACCATGAAAGTATCCTTGATCATAGGAATTAATTGAAGATCCAAAACCATAGAAAGATCTTTGAGGTTGACATGCCTAAATAATTACATATAGTTGATTAAAATATATATATACTTGAATAAGGAAAAAATTATGACATTGTTGTATGAAGATAGGAAACAAACAAACACAGGCGGATCAAGCTTTGATATTTAAAGCAGGTCATGTAGCCCAATCCTCAAATCATCATCATTAGCTTTAATCCCAATTCTCAATTATTTTTCTCAATTAAGCACGGTTACAAATTAACTGTATACCTTCAACTAAAGCAAGCATCATAAAGTTGTGTTGAATACGTGAAGAATGTACAAATGATGCTTATATAACATACTTGAGAAAAGTTGAGATTAAAAAATAGCTTCAAAAAGAACAACAGGTAGATAGAAATAAGGATTAAAATGAAGATAATAATAATGTTTGACAATGAATTTCCATCTGCAAAAGAAATGGCATAACAATAATCTTTAATCACCAAAAAGAACAAATGGTCAGAAAGACATACAGAAAGTTAGCCTGAGATCATGCAGGAGCTGATGATATTCAGCTAACCTAACAATGCAAACAAACTTTGAAATCAGGCCGGTGCAAGGTAAGTAAATTGCATATACAGCATTAAAAAGAACTAGAAGCTTTCAGATGATAATTGAAAAACTTACACAATGAAAATTACCCGACGTATGAAAAGTATCCCATATAGGCACATCAGATAGTAGAGAATATCACCATAAGCAGTTTGTTTTTTATTGACATCCCCGAGTATAAAAGAATGTGTAATAAAAGATCAATAATTAACAATTACTAACCAAAGTTTGAGTAATTAATTTCTTCCAATCAAGAATCTGCTAAATCAGAATTTCCAAATAACACATTTATGACTAAAATATGAAAATTTAAAAGCGCTTATCTTTGACTCTTAATTCTTGCGACACATAATAGTTGCTTAAGTTCATAATTGCAGGAAAAAATCAGCTATAAGTGGTTAATAGCATTACTTAAAAAATCAGGTGCATGATAAATCCCAAAATTTCTTGTTAATTACTCGGTATAAAGCTTTCTACTCAGCCAACCCTGTAAGGTCAATATTTTCATTCAAAAGCAAATTAACAAGCAAGCTTCTATGACAAGTAACTCGGCGCAAGCTAACAAAAGATTTATTAGGGGGCAGGGGTGGTTTGAAATAGAGAACAAGTGCGCACATTCAATTCCCACCCTAAGATCCAGGTTCTCAAACGCATTCTATAATTACATAAGAAACTCAACTTCGTAGTCTAAGAGCATTCAAGTTATAAAGCCGAAAAAAATTCAGGTAAGAAATTCAAGCGAACGCCCATTTTGTTTAAGAACAAAAACATGTTTTAGGGTTCAAGGGTATTTATAGAGTTTAAAAGTACTGAATTCTATTTATATCCAGCTAAATGTTTTAGGATGCGACCTTCAAGGAATTTCAAGGGTATCCTTGTTTATCAAAATATGCTTTCTAACTTCAAGCAACCAAATAATCCCTTAGGAAAATGCCTAAAGTTAGAGGTTATATACCATGCCAGAAGACGGCGGCATCATGCCTTGGCCAAATGATCCAACAGCGCCTATAGGTTGAGGGGAAGCAGCTGGTGAAAGCAATGGAGTCAGAGATCCTACCCCATCGGGAGATTTCAACCAATCTGTCAAAAATTCATCAAAACTAAAAAGCATCAAATCTTAGCTTCAAATCATACAAACCACCATATTTACTAGCAAAATAACCCTACCAAAAGAGCTAAATGGAACATGGTAAGCAGGTGTTGGCCCCAATAGAATGCTGCTGGAATTCAGGTTGGCAAGAGAAGCACCTTGTTGCTCAAGTGGCACTGTCAAATCAGCTTGAGGTATTGAAGACGGTGCATGTAGATATGACATGTTAGGCGTAGCTGGTTGATGATAGTATGGGCCTGTAAAAGGAAAATGTTGAGGGGAGTAAAGCTGGCCGTCCCTCCCAGAAGCAGGTAAAGGTGTTGTAACAGGTGAATATGGCCCATACGGCATCTGGGGATTATACCCATAACCAGGGTGGAACATAACAGATTGGTTCTCAGTGTAAAATCCCTTCAATGAAACAAAATGATTCCGTGAAAATTCAAGAAAAAATATTAGGTGAAAAAGACATTCTATAAATGATATACTCACTGTTGACCCAGGTTCAAAACCTTCTGCGTGCAAAAAGTGATGTGGATACTCTTCCCATTCACCATTAGTATTCTCGTAGCCTAAAGATTGAAAAAGATTCAAGTTCAATGCTAGGTTAAGTAAATAAGGAAAAAAATAGAGATGATAACATCAATAACAGAGGCAATGTCAGAAAAAGGAATCAAAATTTAACAGCAAATGAAAGAGAAAAGGAATACAAAACCTCCGTAAACAAATGTTTGTGCATGTGGAGCATATAAATTTGGTGTATAAGCAGAACCATGATCTCCACTGGTATTTACAGATCCCAAAGGCACATTTCTTGATGGATCCATAGGATTTGAATCATGCGAAAGATCAGTATGCAGTTTTTTCTCGTCTTTAGCAGGAAGAGGCTAACCAATAAGAAATAGGATTAGCACTTCAAAAGAGCAATGCATGCACAGAAACTCAATTTGAAAAAGAAAGTAACCTGCTCTTTTGAGTTCCCTCCACCAATGGAATTCTCAGCATTATCTACTGTTGGGGTGTTTGATGGTTCCTCTGAATCTATAAAAAATTAAGATTAATCCCAAAAATTAGTGCAACAATCATGAATAAAAGAGGAACAAAAAAGCAGAACGAAGAACTACAAAAATATAACTAAAAGAAAAGAGCAAAGATTATACGTTACATTTTCCAAAAATAAACAAAATATTGCAGAAGAGAGTTTCATGCTCCAAAATATATACACGATTCTAGCTGCCTGGCTTTATTTAAAGCCCTCAGCAAAGTAGCACAATCCAAACCAGCAAATGGATAAATGGAAATATCTAAAATTATAATGAATTTTTTGCCCTGAAAGCCAGCCATAGACAATAGCATGGGAACAAAAGCTTAAGAAGTTAGCAGGTATGAGCATGAGAAATATAAGGAACGAGACTAGTATGTATTAGTCATATAAAAAAATATTAAAAAATAAAGCGAGAAGAAAATTTTCAAATTTTATTATGTTTTATCACAGTCCTGGACAAAATATAAAATGAGTGTCAATAACTTGTGACGAAAAAACTAACAAATTCTATTCAAAAGTAATATTCCTATAGTTGTTTAACGGTAAAAATAACTTTCACACTTCATCTACTTCTTAGGTTGTCGTGTATGCAGCCAAACAAAATTAGATTTATTTATTGCAGCATTAGATGCCAGCGATATCGGACTTGCAACTGCCGCTACAAAATTAAAGTTGTGGTGGCTATGTTGTAACCTTTGGGTGCGTTTGTTTCGGCCGTAGCCGTAGAAAAGCTAGTTTCAGATGTTATTGTTTCAAAAGCAATTGATCTATTTGAAAAACACAGTTCTGAAAGTGTTGTCTGTTGACATAATGACTGTAATACCCTTAAGTAAAAAAACACACTTTAGCTTTAACTATTTGGAAAAAACTGTTCTGAAAGTGCTTCCTACGAAATAAATCTTTAGACAATTTATAAAGTTATTTTCACTCACATCAACATAATAAAGCAGATAAAGGTGGACATTAATTGAATCATAAGAAATCATCAAATTATGCCTCCCAACAGCAACACAATCACAAGAAATTGTGATAGATCAAATGCTCCAACAAAATATGTTTGCTTACAAAATAAAAACCTACTACAATAGAGTTTGTTCTCCTAAATACATGTACGTAATCAAAATATATACAATGCTAACAACAATAATAGCAATGCTACAATCACAAAATCAAACAGAATTAAAGTCTTCACAAGGAACTTTAAGCCTCTAACATAGTTTTTCATCATATCATCAACTGCATATATCCATTCATCAGCTCGCTTCATGTGGTGTATCTCTCGGTTCATCAACCCACTGGAAAAATTTACAATCTCTATTTGTTAAATTTGATTTAAGCTCAAGTTTGCAAAATCTCTGCATGACCTTAAACAATCTACCAAGTTTGTAAGTTAGTAAATCTGAGATGAACAAACCATGGATTGAACTTGGCTTTCTCATACTATAGGTTATTCAAAGTCTGATTTAAGCTCAAATTAATCTTTTACATATATATTTGCATGTGGTTGTTTAGAAATCGTGATAATCTAGCTCGGTTCTCATAAATTAAACGAACAAGTACTTAAATCACTTAAAAAATAAGCTTATATAGGTCCAATAATCAACTGAAATCCTACAATTTCAGAGTTCTGGTTTAATAAAAAGTATTCAAATCAATTAAGGGAGGAAATGCAACATCCTTTGAAAATGTACAATTGATGTAGAATTTTCAAATCAAACTGTTCCTGGAGTAAATTAAAATTACAAACATCCACTCAAAGTGATTTGAAATCTCATTATGGATACTACTTCTTGTGTCAAAAAATCCTTCGAGCATAAATTTTTCATTCATATTATACAATTGAATTATAAGAAAAGCTACTCTGAACTGCTCCAAGAACTCCTTGACTCAACAGCTTGGCACATCATCAAAGCCCCAACAAAAAAAAGGATACTTGAGAATTAACTGCAAAACAAATCTGCAGGATATATAAGAAAAATATAGCATAGAAAACCATAATTTTAAAAAATAAAGCAGAGATATCAAAAACATGTATTCTACAGGTAAATTAAAACATTGGATATATAAGAAAAAAGACAACTTAAGTCTAACTATAATAGTGGCCACACAGCTTCAATTCATGTCAACCAATGTGCATACATTAATAACTTCAAATATATGAATATTAATTCATCCATTAACTAAAGCATCAATAATAAGCTCTCGTAACAACCATCTCATCAACACATTCTCCACCACCTACGCTGGGGTTAATAAAATTGTCATCAGTTTCCATCATCGATCCACCCATACGATATTCATATGCTTCAGAAGGAGCAGTTTCATTCTCAATCTATGCTTGTGAAATCAATGTCGAAATGCAAAGAATGTCGTCGTATGTAATTGTAAAATGTTATTGCTGCACAGACAATCTTAACCTGTTTTTCGAATGGATATGTGGGCATATCTCATAAGGCAACCTATTTTTTCATCTAAACTCCAAAAAGTCTCTCAATTACACCCCGTAATGGCGAATGTCGCTTGTTAAACATTTCTTTTTATCCCCTCGTTACTTGACTTACTCATTCGAAGTCTGGAATGTGATATCTTGTGTTGGAAAATGGTTCTAGAAATCCCTGTTGTAATAGATATTCGGTGTCCGGTAAATAGTATTTTCCTGTTATAATAATCAACCATTGGTTAATATATGAAAATTTAATATACGGTTTAAGGAAGAGTTATTCAACCTCGAGGCGGCAGGGAAAAGTTATGCATGCGGAATCGTGTTGCAAACTTAAAGATTCAACTTTCGTGAGACTGCCTTCACAATCCGCCATGAAAAATGTAAAACACATATTAAAGTGGCATATTGACATTATATTTGTGTAGGTGAACCACAACGTTCAATATATGCGACCTTATCAGCATTTGGCACACGTGCATGAACATGTGTCCCATCAAGAGCACCAATATAATCCTATATCAAGTGATAATCCATTTAAATTTAAAAGTTACTTTTAATTCGAACAAAATACAAAATATTGTAAGATTACCATAAAGTATAGCATATATCGATGATCGCGAGGTATCTCTATAGGAATATTTCAGAAAGTTGGATCTTTGAGCTTGATAACTTCAGAGAACAGACTTATCAAGGCATTCAAACCAATAGAGAAATATATACTAATGATTTCTGATGAGTATTGCAATCTTTCACATGTTGACCTTATGGATTCATTATACGATAAAATGTAGTGTTACAGCCAATACTTCCTTTGAAATCATTCTAGAAGATCCACGAAAACTATTGTATAGTTCATTCAAATGATCAATAAAAATTATTTGACTCATACGAAATATACTATGGAATCTCCCTGGATGACCCCCAAGAAATTCATTTACCCACTTGTCCCTGATAAATGAAAACGTCAAAGATGAAGTGCTAGAGAAGATGGATTCATAGTAGACAGTCAATACACATATAACTATTGTAATAATTTTTTTGCAATGCTCTTTACGTACTTTATCATTGGGATTCATAGCATAAAAAATAAGAAATGTTGTTATACCAAAAAAAAAATCAAAAGAGATGATAGATTATAAGTGCTGACACCATAACTAAAAGTTCTGTTAAGCCATATCAAATAATGAAATTACATCATGAGCAATTACTCAGCCAAAAAAAAATAATGTCATAAGTAAACGATACAGCCAAAATATCAAATGCAATTCACTCAAAACCGAAATAAACAGGAGTAATCAGACGATGTGGTTTTCAAAGAAGAAACGTAAATAATGAAACCTTCTCTCGGGTGCCATGGACTTGAGAACATCCCTTTTAATAGGATATTTGATTAACATCAATGAGTAAAGATATAAGGGAATATCTTCAGGAATAGATGAAGATTGTCTTGTAGTTGTAACCTCAAAAGATAAGTTCGTGCATGTTGTAATTAGCTCTGATATTTGGCTTCTTAGATACGCAAAACCAATTTTTTTGCTACAACCCTTTGTCCTTGCATGGCTAGATTCGCTATGATCGCTCAAGTCATGCGGTGATCTTTGAATAGGATCAATTGGGCTCTCTTGATCGACATCTTGAGTACCCCAAGGAGTCCAAAAATGTTCACCAGTCGCAACAACCCCACTAAAGATAACATTAAGTTTCTCCTCAAGCTCTAGTTCAATTCCACCAAACATAAATTTCTTAACATTTTACACAATTTGTCATTTGTACAATCAAAAGAATAAATTTTGTCAAACATTTGTATCTGTAAAGAAAATATAAATATATACGTCTGAAAATAAATCTCACCTCTAATTTCTCCTTCAACCATTATGATGATGCATCTATGATATTCTTAATTGGATCCCAAAGTCCACTAGATCCTCATTTGAGCTCTTTCCAAAGCTTCCAACTTTTTTTAATTGGTCTGATTTATTCTTTAACTGAGTCCGATCACACAATCTTCTAGTTCTAATTTGAAATTTTTTCTAATGTTATTTCAACCTACTTTGTTGAAATGTGTTTTTGGTTTATTTATTAATTCAATTTCTTTTAAACAGACATCACAAAAAATCATTGTTGTTTCTTTTTCTCATATAGTGGATGATGTGTCATCTCTTCTATCGCTCATTTGCTAATTTATCTAATAGAAAGATATCTAATTTCAAATGTTATATCAAAATAATCAAGCAACTCGAAGTTCTTATATCAAAAATGTAATAAATCATGAAAGAATATCAAATTAAAAATTGAAGGGGCATTTACATACAAAACACACAATTCTTGTGACTTCAAAATTGAACGGGCATCTTATGTATTTGCACATGTATGTCAACAACAGCTATAAATTTCGATGTTCATATCATATGGGCATCTTATGTATTTGCACATGTATGTCAACAACAACTATAAATTTCCATGTTCATATTCAAAATTTAGCATAAAGTTGTCTAGTGATGAGATATAGGGGAAGGGGAAACCGAAGAAAATAGGTGACAAGTATGCTAATCA